AAGTCATGTTGGTAAGTCATATCCGATGAGCAAAGGACACTTCCACAGGCAAGAGTCGTGTCCCAAAGGCAGAAGTCACAGTCCACAGTCGATACCAGGCCCTGATATTCAAAAGCAAACATGTCGTGGGGATGTGGTACAGGAACCAATTCAAGCCCCAAGAAGCAGAGGCTGGCACGAGTTGAAGCTCGGTCCAAGACAATATAAGGACTGGCCAGCCACCTCATTTGGCAGATTGCTCATTCGCATGAAGTAAGAAGTGCTGGTGCACTTGTGCGCTATTGTGAGGGGCGAAGCGCTGAGCCAGGGAGCTGTGCTAGTAGAGGGAGAGAGAGGGAGCAGCGATAGCTGCCCAGCACTGGCAGAGGGCAGGCAGCCATAGCTGCGCCAGTGCTAGTAGATAGTAGTAGACATCAGAGGGGTTAGTAGAGTTAGCAGTGGGTGTATTCAGAGTTGGTCCTTGAGTAGTAGAAAGTGTGTGAGTGCATACAAGTAGGGAGAGAAGACACAGGGAGGTAGCGACAGAGAGAAGACTGAGAGAGAAAGAGAGAAGATCATTGGCAGGGATACTTACCTGAGTGAAGACACTGGTTACTTGGGTTAGCGCTGTGGAGCGTTTGGATTCTAAAGCTGCGCTACCTGGTCTTCATCTCTCTGGCCTCCAGTGTGAACTTCGTGTGATCTCATTCATGCCTGGTGTGTGATTGTGTGCGCTCATCGGTGGTCAACTGAGAGGTTCACTGCATCTAAACTTGATAAGGCGAAAAATCTACCAAGCTATGAAGTCTGCTCCAAGTTATCTGCTTCAAGTCATCCAGTTGGAGAAAACAGAGATGCACAGCCTCGCACGGAGGAGAAGAGGGAGCGAGAAGAAAGATTAGGTGATGCACAGCCTCGCATGGAAGAGAAGAGGGAGAGAGAAGAAAGATTAGGGGAAGGAGCGGTGGTGGGCACACTGTAGGCAGCGAACATATGTTGGTTGAAGGGAGCAAGGACTAGAGACACTGAAGAGGGTAGAAGGGTGGAAAGGTGAGCAATATCTGAGGACATGGGACGTAGGAACAGGCGGAGAATTCAATGATAAGGTTTGAAATACAGATGCAGCTCTTTGGGCTTACAGCGCAGCCCGGGGGCTAAAGACAGCTTCAGGACGGTATTGGCAGGGGCTTTGCAATGGATTTTGGATGGATGAAGCAGTCACACCATGATCTCTATGCCATCCATCAACTTTGGCCCCGGCCAGCAAAATAAACATGGTCACAGACGGTGTCGCATACCCTAATGGTCGGCGCCCCTTGACTGGTCGGGTGCCGACCAGCCGGCGGGCCGGCTGGTCAGCACCTACTGGTCGGGGGGCGTCAGCACCCCGCAAAAATAAAAAAACGATCCCCATATTTTTTTTTCTGGGAGTCCATAACCCCTAATAACCCCACCAACTCCCAACCCGAATACCCCCATAGGGCCCATACACCCCCCCAACAGCCTCAAACCGCCCCCCAACACCCTCATACCCCCCCCAATACTCCCTATACCACCCCTACACCACCCCTATACCACTCCTATACCACCCCTATACCACCCCTATACCCCCCCATACCCCTTCTAGACCCCCCCCAATCCCTAAAAGTTTCTCAGCGGATTTGGGCTGTACTCAGCACGCACAGTAAAACCCCCAACTCAGAGTTTTAAAAAAATCAGTGGATGGCTGTTTTCTGACTGGTCGGCAGACCGCCGACCGGTCAGCCCTACTGGTCGCCTGCAAAACAGTCGGCGGTCGGGGTCGGCGGTCTGCAGGTATGCAACGCTGGTCACAGACAAACACCTGCCGGACTCCACAGCAGGAATGGACCAGAAGAACTTCAAAGATGCAATAAGCTTCAATTCACCAACTGTGCGCTTTAAAGATGATGAACATGGGCAGATGACAATAACATCTGGAGCACATGCAATCACCCTCTCCCATTGCAGCCTCTCTGCCAGTGTTCCTGACTCCTGCAGACCATCAATAACCAACCAAAGTTTTGATTTCCAGTACCCAGTGTCCCCCAACCACAAGAGGGTACAATCCTTCCAATGAAAGAACATGGACACGCTTCACAATGGCAACCATCCTTGCGATAGCCGGCATCCTGCTCCGCAATCTATCCACAAGGGACTTCACTGCAACTTGTGTGCCTACAGCATCCCGATCTCAAGAATGGAGTTCAACACCTCTGACAACGTTCGTGGATTTAGTACGACTACTTCGACAAGGTCCGATGAAAGCTTAGCTTTCTTGAGAGCCCAGCGCACCTCCCCATCAGTTACATCACACCTAGCACAGCTTTCCTGCGTCAGAATTAAGTCAGGTTGTTGCAGCGGGCCCATGGGCATTGTAGACTGTCAAAATTTGTGCGAGAGCCATTGAACAGCTTTGCTGGGTGGCACCGGCCCTAACCCTGTAGCCCCCCCCGGACATCAACCTGTGAGGAAAGGTAAAGATAAGCCAAGCTGACAGTCAATCCTCCACACAATTGGAGAAATCAATCCTGGTCAGGGGTCCTTCGGGCAGACGGAGGGAAGCGTGGGCTTGTTTGCGTTGTATTTCTGACTTGCCGGTCTTGATAGGCAATTATAGCTCAGTAGGTGGAGCACCAGTTGCAAATGCACATAGCAACTGAAAGGATATTTGCTTTCTTACTGCACTGTGACACTTCGAGCTTTGAACTTTGAACACTAGAGTGACTAGACCACAAAATGCACCATCATGATTCTACTGCAGTGCATCCGTGATGTAGTCTACATGGCATTGTAGACTATCAAGATTTGCACGAGAGCCATTGAATAGACCTACTGGGTGGCACTGACCCTAACCCTGTAGCCCCCCTAGGCTGACCCCCATCCCCCGGGCATCAACCTGTGCGGAAAGGTAAAGATAAGCCAAGCTGACAGTAATCCACCACGGAGTTGGAGAAATCAATGCTGGTCAGGGGTCCTTCGGGCAGACAGAAGGAAGTGTGGGCTTGTTTGGGTTGTATTTCTGACTTGCCAGTCTTGATAGCTCAGTGGGTGGAGCACCGGTATTTAGGAGGAAGTTTGATTCTTGCTAGATTCTTGCAAGGATTGTTTCCGTGGTTTACTTGATGAACATTTGAGAAATTCTTCTGAGTATTGTAAGCTAACTCTTCAAGATTCTTGTGATATCGTTTACGCTTACTGTGACAAAATGATCAGCCGTGTATGCCTTGCCTCAGGCAGCAGCTGGTGGTACTACGTCTAGCATTGTGTTCATTCTTCATGCTCCGCCGACTAACCTACCTCGATAACCGACTATAATTGCCTTGCAATGTCACGTTCATCATTTCTCGTCTTGTTAGACCATGTTGTTAGTTTTTATATTTCGAGGAAATGGAGACGTACCCCACAAGGCTTAGACAAAAAAGAGAAAAAAGAAATAACAACAAATAATTTAATAAAAAGAAAGGAACATTGTAATTTCAAATGCCTGAGCTGTCAACTTTGACCTCTCGTGCAGATGACAGATTGCTGCAGCTGTCCAGCAATATGTACTCCTTGCTTCTCAACTTGGATATAAAAAACAACACCCCACTCCGCCCACACCAACCCACCCCCTGCCCACACCCACCCACTCACCCAATGGCAGACCCAAAAAGAACACAATATCCCATCTCACTGCAACAGCACAAACTTGCACAGATGAATTATCTGCAAAGATAAGAATCGTACTGCACAGCGATGTCGTATATCATGCCTCAGTTACCTTCTTTTGAAGTGTGTTGGCTCCTTGGGTTTTTGTATCCATCAGGATTTGAACTCAGGGTCTGTTCATCAACAGTTACATGTGTCTGTACAATTCAGTCGCAAGGCAGGTATGCACCTTAGTTACCTTCTCAACAGCGTGTGTCCACAGTTTTAACTCACATACATGCGTGCAAGGGAAATGAGCGATAGTGAAATTCGGAAACCAAGCCGCATCATACACATGAAACCAGATAGTCTTGACCTCAAACCAAAGGCAGAATTGCAACTCGAGTTAGACCAAATAAGAGCACAACAGAGCTCACAAATGACAATGTGGGAATAGTCTCGTCATCATCATCAATGAACCAATGTCGTTTCCCTATCTGGCGCTCGGCGCCCAGACTACAGATGGCAGATCCGATCTAGCCTATCTACAATGCCACTGGTGACGTCAACAGCTTTCTGAAGTACGAGCAGATCTCGGCCAATTCCATATGCATCAAGCACCAGGTAAACCCTCGCTTCACTCACAACCTCCATCCTCCACACAGATGCCACATACACCCAAAGACCACCATGCACCCCATCCAGTAATGCGCAGGCCAGCCCGGCTATGGCTGCCTGCGTCCACCCTGCTCGCCCGTGAGCGCATAGGCACTCGCGCCAGCAGCTGGCGCAGCAACGCTTGCGCATAAGCAGCGAGTGCCCGAATATCTGGCCAGCGGCCAGCCCCTTTCCTTTATGGAAAGTGGCTGCCAGTCGTGGGCTGCCTGGCTGGCCTGGGTCTCTCCCCGGAAGCTTCCGGTAGGCCCCAATTGGGTGAGCCCCTGTCCCAGGGAATCTTCCACAGGGCCTGGGGTGGTTACCCGTGTCCAACTGCCAAGCGGCCTGTGTTCAGTCCATGCCCCGTGTCTGGCCCAGGCCCTGCCTTGGATACATTTGGGAAAAGGCAGGCAGGGCCTGGGCTCACTCAACCATCTGACGCTGCGCAACTGCCTGAAATTTCCCGCAGTTGCGACCAACACAAAAATAGGCCTCTCGTCACTTGGCAGGCCCGCCTTCACTTAGGTCGGCCATGCATGCTGGAAACAGGGCCCCGGTGGGGCTTGCCGAGGCTTAGGGCCTCACATGTGGTTAACTGGGGCTGTTTTTTTGGCTGAAATTTGCACTGAAACTGTCATATTGCCCAGATTCTTTGATTTTTCATGGATGCAATACTGCATTTTGTGGTGAGCAAAATAGGCAATGGCAGAGCTCACCTCCTATTTACAATCCAATCACTTCCATCCACATGAGTGACAAATATTGTATATACTACAAAGGACTTCAATCCGGCTTCTTGCAACCAAGTGTCCACAACCTGTACCGAACACAGCCCACAACGACCAGGCATGTTTAGGCGACCTGCTAACTGATCACAATCTGTTTTTCCTTTTTTCTTTGATAAAGAGCAACAGCCTTGAGAAATCATCATCGAGCTCAGTACCTTCATCAACAGTAGATGGGCGTACTATTCAGCCACACTGGCTGGGTAACTGGTCACAATCTTGAAGACACAGTCCTGGCACATTTCCAGCCTCTTTCGGGCGAAGGGGAAAAACATCTTACACCACAGCGAAGGCTTCCATGTGGCCCAAGTATATGATTGTACCACAGTGATCGCTTGTGTTTTCACCAGAACAAACAGAATTCGATTCCTTTGAAAATCCCCAGAACATAGAGCAGACTAAACCCTGCCTGATCATGTTGGCGCACACAAGCCATAACATTGAGCCTGAAAGACACGAGTGTTTGCATCTCCACACATGACTGCCACATATGTACGAATAAATGCTCTTGCAAGTGCTCTGTTCAGCAAGTAGCGCCATCTACACATACAACATTACTAGTCAATCTCTTTGGCTGCTTGGCATGAGATCAATGTTCTTGTGTTTCATAACCTTCACATCAGATGAAGAGGGGAGCCCAGTAATACGCCCCAGAGGCTGAGCCCGTGCAACGACTATTCTTATTTCATGGATTCCGTACATCTCTCCTTAGGCACCCCATGACTTGCACTGTATTCTAGAAACTGCCTCGCAATGACTACTATCAGATTCAGATGAAATCAGACTCGTCGCAAACTCGCTTCAGCATCCATGCAAACAGATCACGAACACAACCTGGCGCTCAGCGCCCACACAAAGCTCAGAGATAAGAACGTGGCCAGGAACGCAGCTCAGATTCAAACCTGTCTTGAATGACTATGGCGCACTGCGCCAGACAAAGATTCCCACCCGATCAACTGTATCCACCAGCAACTTTGTTTACACGCACACACACACTTATAAAAGGGCCTTTACCCATTCAGACCCTGAATGACGAACGCAGCATAATGGGCCCCACTCGGCCAGAACTCAATTCGTGAAAAGCAGATCAAAAGACATGTTCTCTGGGTCAAAAGTCACATCTTAACTAAAGTTTAACTAAAGTGAGGAGTTGTGTCAAAGGTCACAGTCGTGCCCCAGGACGAACAGTAGCAGCATTCAATTGTGAGAGTCACGTCTGTTCGTCCAGGGGGCTGTGCAAGTCATGTCTGTTTGTGCAGTAGATGTGTCTGTTCGTGCAGAAGTTGTGTCTGTTCGAATGGAAGTCAGTGAGGTAGAGTCCCAGTCCAAGTCAAAGTCCAATAGGCAGTCCAGATGCAGTCCCAAAGTCCAAAAATCTGGCCTAAAGGCCGCCGCAGCACCAGACCCTGAAGGAAAGGTACTGGGACACATTCTGCAGTGGTCTGGGACTGGGCAAAGACCCAAGGAAGATTGATTCAGACCTTGTGAAGGGAGGCCAGCACTATAAGAGACTAGGCCAGCCTCCCCACACGACAGATCTCCACTGGCATAGATGCGTGGAAGTGCTGAAGCACTTGTGCGCTAGCATGCAGGGAGAATGCGCTGGCTGGAAGCTGCGCAAGCAGGAGAAGAAGAGGCTGGGTGCTGATTGGCAGAAGCAGCCATAGCTGCGCCAGCATTAGTAGTAGAAGTGTTAGTAAGTTTCTTCAGTGGGTAGCATTCAGAGTAGATTCTCGTAGGTAGGGAGTGTGCATGAATGGTGAGACGAGGGAGCCAGGACAGAAATCTTGAGAGAAAAGAGAGAGAGAGAAGACAGGTTGTGAAGTTGGATATGGTGGATACTTACCTGTTGGCGCCATACTTGTGATCTGAGGGTAGACGCTGGCTGAGCCAGGCCCTATATTGGTGATCGAACGAGGGAGACTTGTAATCTGTTGGCGCTGAACTCTTGAACTCGAGATACTCTTTGTATAATGTGATTTTGATAATAAAAGCTGCACTATCTGGTTCTCATCTCATCTCGATTTGGCTACGTGTGAAGTTTCTCTATCTGTATGATGCATAGTTGCGGCGCACGACGGTGCGCCGGTTTGCACACGAGCAGCGCACGTAGTGCCGCGCACCGCACGGCGCACCGCGGCGCCCCGAACCGCGAAAATTAGGGGTCTGCCAAAAAAAAAAAAATCTTCGGTTTTCGTTACGAAGGCGGGCCCCCACCCCGGCAAAAATGACGGCCGCGGCGCGCAAGTCCAGAAACCGGTCGCGCCCCCCCTCCGAAATTTTTTTGGGGGGTAGGGCCTGCCGATTTCGAAATTTCGAAATCGGCAGACCCTTCCCCCAAAAACATTTTCGGACCAGGGGGACAGGATTCGGATCTTGGAGCGGGCACCAAAGGCAGGAAGCAGCGCGGGGAAGGGTGACGAAGGCGAGAAGCAGCGCGGGGGTGGGAGACAGACGAAGGAGGAAGGGAGGGACACGGCGGGACACCATCGCCGACATCAGCAGCAGGACACCATCACCTCGAAGCAGCGACGGGAAGCGGCAGCGGGCAGCGGGAAACGGGCGAGCAGCCATTCAGGTGGGCGCCCACCGGCCATCTCTCTCTCTCTCTCTCTCTCTCTCTCTCTCTCTCTCTCTCTCTCTCTCTCTCTC